ACATTATTTTTGACGTGTAAAAAAATAACACTTTCTGGACTATTGAAAAATCTATCATAGCTATATATTGTTCAATTATAATTTATCTATACTGTATCTATATTAAATATGTATGTCTACACAATACAGAAATTACTGTTTAAATAAAAAATACCTATTGAAACCTACACCATATTACAAGCTGCTTATAAGTTAGTACCCTAACGAGTCGATCGAAAGTTTATCGGTATAAACGTTGATTAAACAGGGAGTTGAAAATGTGGTCAACATTTTTTCAGCTAACAAACATTGAAGGGTACACTTACTGATTAAATCCATTGAAAGTACACAACTTTAATTAAACAAACACAATGCCGTTAAATTAATACAAACAATCTTATATTTTCGTTTGAGTTGAAAAAATACCAATAAATAAGAATCGAAGTATGAATTATTGTTTAATCTGTATTCTAGTGAGGGATTATAATGCAATATTTCATGAACCCCTTTCGGGAAGCAACCTTTTCCCCTGTCGTGCTACCTCTTCCCGGTCGATAATATTAATATATTACACTGTTTTCTGGCGAATTAAGGGTTATTTTGAAATTAAACTTAATTGAAAGTCGTTGGGAGCTATACACAAGAAGTGTTATTGGTTAGTGTACCGTTTTTGCTGTTCCGTTGTGTGTTTTATATACAATCATTATCTCATCGCATCACATACAGTGCAATGTACTCAATATCTCAAATGACTTTTATTATTATTATTTTTGTTTGAAACTTTCTAATACAAAACAATATTAGATTTTCAACAATATTTTTTAGTATTGATTTTCCATTTGAAATGATGATACATCCAGCGATTTTAAATTTTTTAACTGGATCTCATATGTGCAATGTCGTTTTTCTTCATCACTTAGTGCCTGGTATACCATTCTAACAAGACGCGTGTAATGATAAACAGCCTACAAGAAACTATTATCAGTCGCTTTATGTTACAGATCATTATATCGTGTCACGTATGTTTAGGTTTTTTCGGATAACTGCTTATGTTGGTAACCACTAGGCTAATCTCTTAGACTGCACAACTAATTTAATATCATATTTAACGAATAATCCTATTTTTCTGAAAACATAATACCATATTTCCGGGATATAATCCCATTTACGAATAGTAAATCAGTTTCAAGTATATACTATTTCATTCTTAATTTCTACGACACTGATTTCTTATTCTATTGATCGTTCCTGCACAAATACGTTTCACCATGACCACTCCAAATGTAATACAACGTACATGATAATTGTAAATCTACCATAGATTATCTACTGGTCAGCATTTTGAGTTGGGAAATCAATCTCGATCGAAAAACCGAATAAAACAAGCGCACCTCCGGTTACCGTTTGGAAACTAGAAAACTGATGAGACCATATAATAAGTTAAAGATAGAATTGTACACCGTGGATGAAAATTAAATTTCAAAACACAACAAAATGATACTAAACGTAATCGGCGTGAAACTCTTTGGGCGAAGTAAGTTATGGACTCGCACGGATATGGACTTTCTCGCATAAAATCCATTTACCGTTTGTAATGGAACTGCGCCAACTTAAACATATGTGTTTTTTGTATCTGTTCGTGTGTGAAGGACGGCAGCATATAAAGTTTTCTGTTTTCGTCTCCGGAGACTATGCATAACTTCTTCTCCGGCACGACCTTAAGGCCGTAAATCTTTCCACGCAGATAGGCAAGTAAGATTGTCCATGGTCGGTGCCCCCGTTCCTCAGCTGTCATCCTCAAATCGATGATCCCTACATACAAAATTAAAGAAACTCCGATGCTTTGGACGTTGTTAATCACATAAGTCGTGTCGTCAGACTTCGCTACATAAATATATGAGAATAAACGGTCTGCCGGATTTATTATCCGGGTTTCTTTTTTCGACTGCTCTTGTTTATAGTCAGGTAATTTATACACTACACGCACCCCTTTCGTGTGCTTTATTTTTTTCGTCTTATTGTTTTTTCCCCGCTCTCCGACCAAAGTTAATGTTACACGCACGTTTATGGATTTGACTGCTGCGTTCAAGCGCATACATGGATGTAGGTCATGGCATTTTAAAGTTCACATTGCCATGTATCGTTAAAATATCAACCCACATAATTAGTTCAAAAGAAGGTATAATGTTGAACATACAAAATGAAAACCACTGACGAAGTTAACAAAATTCCAGTTTGAACCGCAACCGAAAGTTTTTTACGTTCCAACTATGGCAAAAGTGTTATTGGGAAGTATATGAAGTTTCATATAAAACCAACAATACTTGAGCAGTAAAGCTCAAACTATTCATGGACGTGATATCATAAAACCCGTAAGCATAAATAGGATACGGATAGAGGGCGGCTTGGAAGATAGACATCCTGTCAAAGTATTAAGGACGAAAGTTTCAAAATCCGGATTAAAAAAAAAATTAAAGACGCTACTATTCATGTCTTGAAAAAACTCAATGCTAATAAACAGATGTTGTTTGAATACAATACTGAAAGATAAAATTAATTAAATTCGGAATTTCATTGATTTTCTCACTCAGTTTTGACTTTTTATAATTAGTTTAAATAACATTTTTAATTTACATGCTTATCTACAATCTACAATTATTATACATACAATGAGTAATTAAAAAACTTTTATGAGACGTTGCTTATAAAAATTCGAACGTATATGATCCAATCATAATATATAAATGTACAGTAAAATACTGTAGATAGATTCCTTACTATTCTTGTCTTTTAATTGGGTTATGCTGGTAAATGGATAGTTTTATAGCTTGACCCTGAAATTTACGAATATTTGTTACATTTGATTATTTAAACACTGACGTGGATGACATTTCTATAAGTATATCCCAGGTAGTGACCCAGGAAAATGCTAAACTCCTAACTATCAAAATCGGTTGCAATGATTCTGAACAAAATATTAGTGTCAAAAGGTTAAAATATAAGCAATCGGTTAAATTGATACTAACAACGTCATATCAATCGAAAGTAAAACGAAATGGTCAAACGTCCTTAAGCCGTAATATTGTATAATAACATTATATTATATTATAATATTATTATAGTTTTTAAATAATTGTGCTGTTACTATTTGACTTTTCCGTCATCTATTTTTAAATAACACGTTACAAGCAGTTTATTTATTTAATGGATTCTATTTATTCGATTGTTTCTTTTGACATTAAGTATATAATATTTTTGACTATTACATGACATACCTACAACAAAATAAATAATACTTTTGAAGGATCGTCAAGTCACTCGAGACTGTAAAAAATGTATCGACAGTCAAACATATTTTGTATTGAAAATGTTTAACGTTTTATTGTGGCACTTAATGTAATCGAGATTTTAAGTACAATGATTTCGTGGACCTGGGTTTCAAATTTTAAACTAAATTTATTTCTTAGTGGATAAGGAATAAAAGTTTGTTAAAATATTAATACAATAAGATACCCTTTAAAATCAAAATGTTCTCAAAAATTCAATTGCATCGTCATTTACAAAAAGTGCATAGTAAAAAAACTTAATTCTTTCTCTTCAATTTTTAAATGAATTGAGGTGTTTAAAAAATAATATTGATTGCCACAGGTAAAATCTGTATACTATAAAATTATGTAATAACTGTATTACCTCTATTAAATATTTAATTATATTATAATTATAATATAATTAATATTATGTATGAAAATATAATCATCAAAACAGTTTTACTCTACTGTCCATTTTATCCTAGAAAAGTAATGTCGATTATTGTAATCCTTTTATTCTTATTTTCTTCCATTAACATTGTATGTATCCTATTATACGAGTGCAGAATACCATTTCCTCACTTCGCTTTGACCTGCCACATTTCTGTTGATCCTTGATCTTCTTAACCTTTTTTATTACTTAATATTATTTTATTCTTTTTTTTTTTGTCACTAAAACTTTTTCAGCATATTTTTTGTCTTTTTTCTACTATAAACGTACATCTCAAACCACAATATTTTATTTAAGACACTCGTTTCTATTATTCACTTCTAGTAAGCGCTTTCATAAGTCCACTATCATCTCATCAATCTAATTCAATACCAATTTACACTAATAATACCCATAAATCTTTGCTGGGACTCACTAAAGTTGACAAGCACGTTGACACTAAAAACTATTTTATTGCAGCAGTGCACCTGTTACCTCTAGGTGTGTCATAAAATTCAATTCTGCTGCCTCATAATTGTTTGAGCCTTTTACATTAACAAGCCCAAATACTTACTTATATTTTTATTATTTACACAATTAACAAAGACTGTGATTGAATATTGTCACTGATATTCTATTAATCATTACCTAAAAACATTTATGCAGACCAAAGTTGAGTTAATTTTATAGCTAAAAATATAGATGCTTATTGTTATAATTTCTTATCATCAATAGATGATAAATGATAACAATGTGTAATGTAAAATGTTCGGTTATACATCCCTATGGACTATGGTCACAAGTTCCATAACGGTCTTAAGTTTTCAAATATTATACACTATGGCTATTTCTAGCATATTTACTTTATTATTTTCTATAACAGTTCACATTTGGATGGTTCAAATTGCACTATTTGATACTAGATAGCGTGTCTCTTCCTGTACTTTCTTTTATTGTAATCTATTTTTAATAAAAATACTTGAGTGAAGGTACACAACCCGTAAGTATAATCCCAACAAATTAATAGACGACCTGAATTTGTATCAGAGAACAAATTTCTAATAATCAGTATGGCGCGTGCCATGATCTTGAATGCGGTTTGTTCTTCTTTTCCAATTTATCCCATACACATAGAATTCGATAACATATCTTGACTCCGGTCTCTCTCTCTCTGGTAGAGTTTTAATCCAATTATGATTTCACAACTAATTATTGTGAACGTTAACAAAAATCATGCCAAGTCCAATTGAACACAAATCGAACATTTGGTTTTTGTTTTTCAGTGCGGAGAGAGTTAAGCAGAAACAGAAGAACCATGTACATATTGACATCGATAGCCGTGGCGTTTGCGGTGAGCTGGCTGCCCCTGACGCTGTTCACGCTGTGCGTGGAGTTCCATCCGGAGCTGTTCAAGTCTCCTGAGCACATGTACCTGACGTTTGGCGTGGTCCATCTGATTGCAATGTCCTCGACTTGCACTAATCCTCTGCTGTACGGCTGGCTCAACACGAATTTCCGCCGTGACATCTCCAGCATATTCCGGCAGGTTTGTTACTGCGGTACCGGTAAACCGCCTCCCCGGCGCAAGCGGCATCCGTCCGTGGCGACAGACTACCGCGGTCCAAACGACAGACGGCCAGGCCCCGGATCTGAGATGCCCGGCCGGCGCCATCACCACGATCCCGAAACGACAGGGCTGTCCATGATGGTCAAGAGCGAACGGCGATTCAGCACCTCCTATCTGACCACGCTGACCACAGTCACATCAGGCAGATCACAACCGGTATCCAGCGTAGGTCGCGTGGAAAACGTTTAAAACCCATATGCCATACAAGGTGGCAACGATGCTGGACTATGTTACACTATAAGATGGTGACCAAGGGCGCCCACAGAAAGGGTCGGGGGGACGGTCTTTCCCCCCTAGCTTCTCTGCAAGTTAAAAAAATTATATCCAATATCTGAAATTCACAAAATCAATTACAAAACCATAGTCGGTCTTCTCCCCCCCCCCCCAAAAATTTTCACCTGCGGGCGCCCTTGTTCATGACCAATACACTGAGCTGGGCATTGCCAAGACTTAAGTTTTAACTTATAATATAATATATAATCAGCTATATATATACAGTATATGTGTTTATACTGATATTAAATTTCTTTAGTTAATGTGTGTAAAGGTGAGTTTTATAATTACTTTCATAAAATGGAAATTTTATTGTCGATAGGACTACGAGGATAGTGACCATTGTTTTGATAAATAACGGTGGTGAACCAATCCATTCCCAGCGCAGGAGGTCTGACAAATTATGTCATTTTACTTATAACTCATTTCAAAGAAACCTTTTTTTCCTTGAACAAAAAGGATTATCTATTATTTTATTTTACTACTGCAATTTTACATTTTCAAAATTATATTATATTTACGTTTCGTGACTATTTAAAATATACGTGTCATATCCTGTATATCATGAAGTCTCAAAACAAGCGCTAGATTGTATATACTATTATTACTTTTTAAAAATAATTAAATATTAAATACAAACGCACAGGCCAAATCCAAATAGTTCTCTCGACAATATCATTACTATGTATGTTAATCGACTGATAACAATAAATTTATTCCTATATTATAGCATATTATTTTATCTCAGCGTCGGTAGTCATTTTTAATAGCCATCGTCGCTTGATATAACCAATATAGTTTTGTAAGTATAAGCTACGTCGTTATATCATTATACCCTAAAAGAAAAAAAATTCTAATTTAATCGATTCCTTCAAAAATAAGTTGTCTTATTACCTAGTATTATAATAATCATACATTATTATTGAACAATTAACTCCAATATTATTTTGTACTCTTAACGGTATTCGTACATATTACTATAATGGTATAGTTCGGTGTTCCGTCTGTTATTAGTATGTACGGTAGAACTAAGTACAGTTTAAACTATGCAGCTCTATGTTAAAGAGCAATAATAACTTAACTGGATTTAAGGGAAACGGACAATCTTGGGACCATACTACAATCATATTTATATCTCCTCGCGAAGAGTCTTTTATTAAAAAAATCAACAAAATTATGATCAATTATTTTCCACCTTTCTATTAAGATGTACTTTACATACACAATCTACCCTTTCTTACATTTGTTAAACTATTGTTATTATCTTTTACGATACGATCATAATAATATACTGTATACCTACGTCCAAGTGGAATTAAAAAGATATAAACCATCGTTATTTTTTAATCATCAAAATAAATAAAGAAGCTCTTTTATAATTAATTTTTAAGCAAAAACCCGACTTTAAAAATAAAAATTCTCTCTTTAGTTAACACAATATCCCGTCTTCTTTGACAAATCACCCCAGAAAAATAATGTAGTATAATATTATAGTAAAATTGTATGAGAACATCTCTCCTGTATCAAAATACATTTATAATGATGATTATTTCATCAAATAGAGTAACTAACAATGTTATACATAAAAAACCGATAAAACAGTAGTCCTTTAAACAAAAAAAACTAAGAATTCCATGGTTCGGCATGCAAGTTTTTTTTATATTTCTTGTAAATTTTAGTTTTATAAAAATATAAAATACTAACACTCATTTTCACCAAATAATGTTAAGAATTTAACCATCCATAAATTTTAACATCTGGTAGAACAGAATGTAAATGTTTAATTACTACAAATTTATAATTTGATCTATAATAAATTATATTTATCATTTACATGTGATTAACAAAGAACAAAATGTGTATGTTGTCAAACGTAAATAAATAATATTATTATCTACAAGAATAAACAGGTTTTTGTTTGGTTTACAAACGAATAATATATTGTTAAGATACTGTAAGAGTAATATAATGAGTTGGTGTGCTACAGAATAAGTGTTACAGTTAAGCGTTTATATCTGTCTGATTAAAATTCATATTTTTTTTTCTATAAAAATGATCCAACTGTTTACAATATGTTCATAACACAGCATCATTTAACTTTAAAGAAATACAATTTACAACATCTAATAGAGTTAACTTTATGTAATTTGTTTAGTATTCCAATATTATATTATATTTACAATATTATGTTTTTTTTTTTAAGTGTGTATAGACTAACATATATTTTTGGTTATTATCTATCGTGTGTTAGTTAAAAATGTTAAGACACAAGGGAAAGGCCGATATTACAAGTGTATAATACATTGTATATTATGAATGTGATAAATGACCGGGTCATTATTATTTAATAAAGCTAGTTTTATAAGTCCTTTGTTGTGTTATGTTTATTTTGCTGCTCTTTAGTTTATCATTCCTTTGTTATTAAATGAAAATGATATAAAGTGACATATTCTATTATTTACTCTAAACTTCTACAATTCATGTACGCATAAACTTTTTTTAAGCGATAAAATAAATAAGCTCGCAATCGTATGTCCTTTGAAGTGAACAGACATCTCTAAAATGTAGTTTGATAAAATAAACTTATAGGTACTGTTTATATCGTCCAAAGATGATAAATTTCAATGGATTTATTTTAATCTAAAATTAATTTATAACTCTAAATTCAGGCTTAGGTTCCCGAATTTAAAATTTTTAATTAATTCAGTAATATATAAAAATCTATTCCTTTTTTCTATAAACGAAAGTTAAAAATAAAACGGCCTAATAATATGTTTATCGAATAGACTTAATCAAATTAGTTTTATATGAAAATACAAAATAGGTAAAATAACCATACAATTGAAATCGCAATAAAAATAAATACATTGTAATTATAAACAAATATTATGTTACGTCGTAAGTCATTTATTTTTATTTACTTTTATTATCATTCTACTAATACTGATTAATACTAGCTGTCAGATTTTATATGCAGCGTGTGTCATGAAGATTTCACAATGTCATAACTTATGACGTTGTATTAGTAATCAAACTAAAGCGTTTTTAATTGAATTAACATGTACGACAGAGCTATTTTGCTAAGTAAAGTGTAGCAGGTCGTTACAGGGGAAGCACTTTATGTCTGTCGATAGAAGACATAAATAAAGCTAATAATGAAAGCCTTTAATCAAGCGAAAAAGCCCATGTATCATGCATGTCGAAGCTAAGTGTTAAATTGACTTCAAACCAAAATTGAAAATACACTTGTTAACGACTTGACACTGTGGATCTCAAGTAATACTCAATACAGGTGTCATAATTATTATGTATGTGTTGCTATTGTTAACCGACATAATACTCTATGACTTTATAGCTTCAAAATAGTGTCTATTCAGAGAGTATATGACTGAATTTAATTCCTATGAGTAAATTGACAGGTACATTTCTCATTTATATCTATTAAAATCTATAATTTATATCTATTGAAAAATAACAAATGTTGTTCACCTGTACCACATATTTTTACAAGTATAATATAAGTGGAATTTTTTACATGAATAGTTAAATGTGCGGACCAATTCTAAATCCGCCTATGAACTGAAGAAACCACTTTTATATATAATATATTAGCACGACAGACGAGCCATATCGTTTGATTGGCAAAACAAAGGCTAGCTAGATTAGGTTTATCTTTTCTGTCTGAGTACCCATTAGGGGCGTCGCCGTTTTCCACAAAAATGACCCTTGGCCGTTATCACCTTGTCGTGTCCCGGCAAAGGTCATATTCCGATTTCCGCCATAATAAATTAAAATTTGCTACCTAATATTTTTTTTAAAAACCCCTTATTTTTTTGGTACGGATAATAAGTATACATATAAATTTTTTTAAAAAAATAATATTATTAACTCGTTATAATATAGCGTCTATATCTAACTCGTTTATAACGTACAATTTTTTAGTTTTAGGTTCAGTGGTTATTAAAAAATATCCGGTAACAAATTTTAATTTACTTCTAACTTCGGTGAAAAACGGAAAACCCCTCCACTGCTTACTAAAGATTTTATTATTTGTTTGTTATCGCTAACTACATTGTTATTCTAAATATGTTTTTATGCGGAATGCTGTATTTCGGGTTTGTATTTTGAACTTATTGATCGAGTAATACTATTTCACAATTGTATTGTTAATATAATGTTATTGACGTTTCAAGATAAAAATAAACTGCTGTATATTCTATGAAACGTACAAATCAAAATTTTTATTCAAATAATATCTTTCATAATATTTTGCAGCGTTATTTCGACCGCTATCCCAGGTCAGGCTACTATAACATAATTCAGCTGGCTACTGTATAATTAATTAATTATGGTTATTAATGGTAAAGTCAGCCTGCGAATGTCTTTCAATGAGCTTATAGCATGATCCTCGGTCCTCGAGGCTGATTATACCACGCTATGAAACACATAGTCTTTAGCGAAGGACTAAATAAGAAACAATGATAGTAATATTACCATGGTATTATTCTGAAATGTCACTTAATAAATTACACCCATAGTTAAATCCGAGTCCAATATCTACGAAAATATTAATATTAAATACATTATCGTTATATATTATCTAACTAAACTCTATAAGAAGAGAACTGGCATTTTGAACTCTCGATCTGTCCACCATTCCAACAACATAAATGTCTAGTCGATAGAGTCTCTGATTAAAAAAGTAGTCAAGTATTAGTCAAGAACAGATATTATTTTTTTAATTAATTAATGTTATGTGATTGACTATTGAGGTTTAATTTTTATTAATTCGTATTTCATACCTAAAGCTCAAATTAAATTTAGAAAATCCAAAATAATATTTTGAATTAAATTGATTATAGTGAGAATATTTTAATCAGTGAATACAAACATAGTATAAACCATTTTAGAAGAAATTAGCACAGTTGGGTTATGACAATTATTAAATCTTAACGTGTTTTTACCACTATCAAACAGTTTTATGTAAATGTGCAAATATCAAGAATCCAGCACAGTCGACCAGGCGCAGTAAGAATTTACCAAAGTGGAGTCCAGTATCCACAGGTTTGCATAAAAGTCTTTTTCCATAGTTCTGTAATTTATAAGACGACAGCTTAGAATAATAAAGCTAAAAAAGTAAAAAAAAACTAAAATAAAGATAGTCAGTTGGCGCAAAGTTCCTATAAAATCACATTTAAGAAAACGTTTTGATTCGGATCTGTGAATATTAAACCCCACTTAGTTATTTTTATTTTTATTTTTTTTTTTATTAAAAATAATTTACTGAACGTTTTTACCAGTCGAATTAATTTCGAATAATTACTTTAAAAGTTATTAAATTTAAAAATTTAAAGTGAAGTGCAGTTGAATATAAGTTATGCAATTTCACTCTTTCTCCCCTCCTAAACTTTAGTCATTTCAATAATTCAATTTATTAGACAAATATTCGTAATTTAAAAAAATTAATGGAATATATGCATTTTACAATCTTTATGCTATTAAAAACCAAAATACCAATTATTTTGTATCACATGACACATTATAAATAGCTAACATTCATACCGCTTTTGTAAAGCAAACATTTTTTTTTTTTAACTGTACAATGTTGATCTCGTCACGAAAGAAGGATCTCTCATATTTTAAATTAGGAGTCGAAAGCACAGATAACGGAAGTACGATTTAAAAAAAAATGTATTTTATTATTTTTTGACTTGAGAATTTTTAAGATAGTCAAAAAGGTACAACGAATTTTTTTAAAATCCCGCTGATGTCCACACATATATTATAATAGTTCGATGCAGGAATCCCCTGTATAAAGTTATTATAATTATTAAGCTGAAATGATACACAATTTGTAAAATAAAAAAATTGAGGATTACTTTAAAGCTCTTCATAAAAAAAAATGGTTAGTATTATGAATTAGGGGATAGCTACCCACTCAGCGTGAATGTTGTTTGATAATACTTCAGAAGAATAACTTTTGTGTGAAAAGCATTCCAGTTTTGATGCAAAGCTGAGATTTTTTTTATCTTAATTGGTATTTATACAATACACTAAAACATTATTGTTATTTTGAAACATATATTTATATATATTTTCCGTTTACAACCATTATTTATATTATATAAAACATATTTTTACTAAAATTAAGTGAAACCTTACTCAAACGGTGAAGTAACAGAGAAACACCAATTACTGAGTTTTCTCTCTCTTTTATTTTTATTTTTGGCGATGTATTACTTATAAGTATAAGCATATTTTATAATTGAAAATATGAACTACTATTTTATTTTTCTCTCTACTCATTACTCTTTGAAATTGTATTGATATATTTTAACTATACTAATACTGCCAATACTGTAGGTTATTTTCGTCAAGAGGCTAAAGTGATTATGTTTAAGATCCGTTGGCGTTTATTCATTATTAATACATACAAAAGTAGTTAATGACTAAATATCGAAATTTATTTTAAGGTTTCGACTATTAATAACATACAAACATGTTATGTAACTTTCATAAATAATCTTTATTATGTAAAACCACATTAAAACAATAGCTCGATTAACAACAATATGGTATTACTATATACTTACTAGAATGGGTTTTCGGTATATTTATCAATATCGTAGCCATTATGAAAAAAGTTTTATAAAAATAAACAGTGTTTCGACACTTATTGTGTAAAACGGAACTTAATATACTTACCAAGTACCTAGTTCGACAGTGATTTTTTTTTTAATTTAAAAATATTTTAAATAGGTCATTCGTTTGTTTTACGAGTAGGTA